ATCCAAGTGCCTTCCCTGAATTATTTGACACTACTAACCATTGCTTTCTTTTGCACAATTCTTTTCTTGGATACTGAGAAAGTACAGTGGTTCTCTGAAGAGGCAATGAGGTTAAGTGAAGGAAAGAGTGGAGAAACCATATTCTTTTTTTTTAATGGGGGTAGGGGCTGTGGGGAGAGGGAGAGAGAATCTCAAGCAGGCTCCACGCTTAGCACAGAGCCCCATGTGGGGCTTGATCCCACGACCGTGAGATCATGACCTGAGCTGAAATCAAGAGTCGGCTGCTCAACTGACTGAGCCACCCAGGCACTCCTGAGAAAGCTTATTTTTTAAAAAACAAGTTTCCATGTAATCCCTTTATAGAATTTGTTTATAATAATCTTTAAAATTGTATTTATTTATTTTTATTTATATCAATGTTAATCTCATCCTAAAGCTGTTAGGCTTAAAATAAAATAATCTTATTCAATGATAGACTACGAAGTTTGTCATATGGCAGTGAACAATATTCTACAGACCACTGGAATTAATTTATCTTACTGCACCATTAGACTGAGTCAGTGGGATATAAGGGCAAGAGTTCTTAGAGGACTTGGGGTGGAGTCAGGCATCCTATTAACTTGCTCTTTTGACTCTAGGTAAAATACTTAATTTCTCTGGGTCTTATCTTCTTCCAGTTTTAAAATATCACTGATTTGGGGGTGCACGGGTGGCTCAGTTGGTTAAGCATCTGATTTTTTTAAATAAATTTTTTAATGTTTATTTATTTTTGAGAGAGAGACAGTGTGAGGGAATCTGAATCAGAAGCAGGCTCCAGGTTCTGAGCTGTCGGCACAGAGCCTGACTTGAACTCATGAGATGTGAGATCATGATCTGAGCCAAAGTCAGACGCTTAACTGGCTGAACCACCCAGGTACCTCAAGAGTCAGATTCTTGATTTTGGCTAAGGTCATGATCTCATGGTTTATGGGATCAAGCCCTGCATCGGAACTCTTGCTGAAAGCACGGAGCCTGCTTGGGATTCTCTCTCCTTCCCTCTCTGCCCCTTCTCCACTTGCATGAACTTTCTACTTCTCACAAAATACAAGAATAAAAACATTAATAAAATATAAAATATCACTGATTCAACACAAAGAACTGACAGATATGAAAATGATAGAGACAACCAAAGAGAATATGTTGGGAAAATTTGCCAGGAGAGACATGGATGGCATGAATTTGATGTTAATGAGTAAAATTAAAAAACAAATAAACCCCAACAAACCATGTATTTTATTAGGGACTTCAGAAGGAAAGAAAAAATCACTTTGACTTACAAAATGAATGAAACCTGGAAATGAAAAAACTGTGCAGGGGAAACAATTTGTTACATAGTTGCCTATAACATACAAAGTAACAAAGAACAGAATTCAGTTACATAGATTCAAGAGAATAAAAATTGCCTTTATGTACTTGAGGGAAACTAACAACAAAACCCCAAACCCATACCATTAGAAATTTCAGCAATAATAGTTGAAAGCATGGCATTATTTTGGAGGGTAAAAAATAAAATAAAAAATAGTTTTGTCCTATTTTTAAGATTTTTTTAAATCAAATTCATAAAAGATAATTAGGTAAGCTATATTTTGGAAAGAGCTTGTCCCAAATATAACTCAGTAGGTAGCATTACCTTACCTGAAATACATTGTTGAAATGTGGACTATTAAAAGGATATTGGAAAATCAGGCAACTCCGGTACTGGGCATGAAAAAGTTAATTACACACTTCACAAGAGGAAATCTAAATGGCTCGTGGATATATGAAAAGGAACTCAATAGCATCAGTAATCACAGAAATGCAAGTTAAAACCACACTGACATACTACTGCATACCCACCAGACTGGCCAAAGGATTGACAGTACTGAGTATGGTTGAGGGTGTGGAGCAATGAAACTCACATACGTGGCTGGTGTGAGTATAGCACTCTAGTAACAGCTCCTAGGTATATACCATACAGAAACTTACATAAATGTGATGGAATACACACATGAAGAATGTTCACAGCAGCATTTTTAACAGTCCCGAACTGGAAACAATCCAGATGTCCATAAACAATAAAATGACTAAATAAATTATGGCATGTTGCTACAATGGAACACTGTAATATGCAGCAATTAAAATGAACCAATTACAACTATATGAACAACCTGAACAATGTATGGGTTAAAAATGATGTTGTGAGAAAGCAGCAAGCAAACAGTTTACATATTGTGTTATTCCATTTAATAAAGTTCAAAAGAAAGGGCAACACTATAAACAATATAGTGTTTAGGGATGTATGCTTGCGAAAAAACAATAGAGAAAAGCAAGGAAATGATTATCACAAAAAATTAGAATAATGGCTACCTCTAAAAGAGAGGGAAAGAGTTGTGCTCAGGAAGGTCACGCCGGGGGGGGGGGGGGGGGTTGGCTTCTAGGATGTTGGCAATGTTCCATTTCTTGACCTGGTTGGTCACAGGCAGGTTTCTTTTAGAACCACTCATTATACTGAATAACTGCTTTATGCATTTCAATGCATATTTCACAATAAAAATGCTAAAAGTAATTGAAGACTTTAGATGGCATTTCTAAAAATTTTACCAGATAATTTAGCTTATGAAATCTTGACAGTAAATACCACTGACGTGGGATAATAAAACACTGATTAAATAGTTTTTCATAAGAACTCACTCTCAAGTGCAGGAGAAAAGAACCCTACAAATAACCCTTTGTTATATTTTAACACAGTATGCAGATCTTTATCACACACAAAACTGATGAAGCAGGGAAAAGTACTGTTACCTGAAATTTCAGAATTTTTGGAATTTTGAACAAACTAGCTGTTTTCTCCTCTGGATTAATAAGAAGTAAAAGAACTAAAGAGATGCAGACCAAGTTGGAAATGTATGAACTTCCTCCTCTCCAGTTGCCAGTTTCAGCTGTTTCCTCCAGTTATCACGCTGGGTGGTGAGGTGGGTGGATTTTGCCCAGTAAGCTTAGTGCCTCTATTACTTCATAAGTAGGTGGATGAGGGCTCTCATGAGTACTGTTCTGTCTCTTGGTACTGCGGTTTTAAGGTGGAGCTGCTGACAATGAAAACAGATCAGGCTGCTGAAAAACCCCATGTGGTACAGTACATACTTTTCTGGAGGCGTCCTCAGCTGGGTTGCAGAGCTCTGATGTTTGCACTCTTTATCCAAAGCCCACAGAACTTAAAATCTGAGGTGCTCGGCTTCACAAAATCTAAATCAGTGCATTACTCATTCAATTTCCAGCAGGAAATTAGGGAGAGGGCAAAACCAAACAGAGATTTATTTTGTAACCATGTGGGGCTATCACTTGCTGGTCATATTCCCTGTGAGTCTTATTTGGAAGGACATGGGAGGGCACTGGTCATGACAAGGCAGTCAGATCCACGCCAGCTTAAGCAGGATAGTTAGCCTGGCTCTTGGAACTTTCGACTGTGGGGTAAGTGCCACTTTGTGAGTCTCTTCTTGCTCCTGCAACATCCACTTCCCCATTTCCATCGATCTTCCTGCAGTATTTATTTTAATAAAAATGAGCCTTTGGATTCACCCAGTTAGAAGTTTCCTTGGTCTACTGTTTGCATATGGTGGTAGTTGAAACCCTGAGCTCCCAAAATTTGCCTATAAAAACTTGCTCCTTATGCCCTGAAGCGGAAAGACTTGTAATGTCCATTAATTCTGCTTCCTGAGCAGGTGCGCCAGGGTCCAGTGACAGAACTCAAGAATCTGCTTCCTTTCATCATTGCTGCTGCTTTCATCTCCGTCTTACACTATTCCCCGGGACAGGTGCAAGGCAGATTCTGAGGATTCTGGTCCTTTCATCTTAAAAAATTTCTTTTCGTAGAGAACTACACTTTCAGCTTTATGAGTTTTTATTTGAATTTACTTTCCAGGATAACATCTGTAGGAAAAGCTGCATAATCGTACTAATATGTATTTTAGAAAAGAGATAGCTTTTGAGTCAGAACTGAAACACAGGACATTTCTTGATCATGGTTATGGATGGACACTTATGAGCAACCAAGATCAGCTCTTCAAAGCTTCACACAAGCAAGAATGAGTACCTTTTAAAAGTGAGACACTAGAGTAAAAAATCCTTCCATAATCTCCAGGAGAACCGCTTCCTTCCCTCGCTCGGCAATTCGCCCCCCTTTACACTAAAGACTCAGGTTGTGACACCGTACCCAAACCGCAACCTATTTCCTTTCGTGGGGGGGGGGAGGGGGAGAAGGGACATATTACTCTCATCTTTACAATGCTATGTAGCTTACAAAAACGCTTACGCTTCCATCAACTCCTCTGAACTCCGTCGGTACCTCGGAGGGAGGCATTCATTCATTCATTCATTCACCAGACATTTGCTCGGCTGGACCACACGTCATCGGGTGCTAGGTCTCGCCCCAAACCACGGGAAGGGTGGGACGCTCGCTCCCTGGAGCAGGTGCAGCGGAATGGATGTGGGACAAGTTCTCGCCCAGTCTGGCTTTTCGAAGGCCCATTTGGGGCGATATGCCTCACCTTCGGGTGGTGCGCGCCCGAGCATGGCCGTGCGGCCTGGGCCTTCCTCCTTGCTCCCAAAGGAGCCGTCACCACCTGCCCCGAAGGAAACCGCTACAAGAGCCAGCTCTGCCCGCCGCCGTCGGGTCAGGGGTAAGATCAGGCGGCAGCTTAGGCTCCACTCGGCTCCTCCCCTTCCTCTCTTCAATTCTGACGCGGCCGTAGAGGCGGCGGCAGCGGCGGCTAGTCCCGCGGCCCGAGGCGCACCCACCCGCTCGCGGAGCCCAGACTTCCTCTTCCCTTCTAGCGTCATCAGAGCGCGCCGGAGTCACCCAGGGCGGGGTGATTAGAAAGGGGAAAAAAAAAAAAGGCCAGCGGAGGAAACGTCCCGGCGGAAAGAAAAGGGAGGGGGCGAGGGGAGCTGTTGCTAGGTGACTTGCGTCATCGGGCTGCGCCGCTTTCCTCCCGCCCCTCTCTGGAGTGAGGCGAGAGCCCCGCACAGAGCGAGCGAGACAGCGAGCTGAGCTCCGGGCGCTACCGCCACCGCAGCAGAGAGCGTGAGAGCGAGGGAGCATCTGAGAGACCCAGCCCCCGTGCACTGGCCACGGCCGAGACCTTCGTCCTGACCTGGACCAGCGGGAGTCGCGGCCACCCCTCTTCTCCCCCCCTCACCTTCCCGGCCGGCAGCGGCGGCTGCACACGCCGGAGCCCGAGCCGGAGCCGGCGGCTGGGGGGCTGGGAAGCGGCTACCTCAGGCCGGGACTAGTCAGCTGCTCCGCGGTGAGAAGACGCTGAGGAGGGGTCGGAGCTTCTGTCTCGTCCCGGGGCGCGGGGCGAGGGACCCCCAACGTGTAGGGAGGGGGTCCCAGCCGCATCGACACATGCGGGAGCCGGGAGCGGGGGCGGCGCCGAGCGGAGCCGGCCGGGTCCCCCACCTCGCCGCCGCCTCGGCCACCCGCCCGGGGCCATAGCATCTTGCCCCCAGAGTGTATGAACCGGGGACCCACGCTTAGCAACCACCCCCCGGCCGGGGGGGCGGGGACCCCAATGTGAAGCGGCGGCTCCGGCGGCGGGGAGAGCAGTACCGGCGCCGCCGTCCTTTCCTTACCTTCCCGGTCTCCTCAGCCCCCTCGCGGGGGGGGGGTCTTTTCCCTCGGCCTGTCGCCGGCCCCCCGGCTCCTCGGCAGGACTCCGGGAGGAGTTCCTAGAGCCCCCTCCCCCGCCCCAGCCCCGAGGGCGGCGGGGCCGGGGGGGACCCGGGGGGCCGGCCGCAGCCTCAGCCCAGAGGAAAACTTTATAAGAGCAAAATCTGGAGCCGCCAAACGTGACTGTCCCGGGAGAAGTGGCCCAGGACGGGCAGAAGACACAGCCCGAAGAGACCCAGGAAGAGGAAAAGAGGAGGTAAGCGGGGCCGCTGCCGCCTCCCGGGCTCCGGCAGCGCGGAAGAGCCTCGGGTGACCGCCTGGCTCAGAGACACAAGCACCGCTTCTTCCTCAGTAACGTGCCGAGCCTTCCGCAGCTGCCGCTTCAGAGCGAACGAGGAAGGGAACCAGCCCACTTTCTCAGCGCCGCGGCTCTTCCCCAAAGTGTGAGTGGCCCCGGGAAAGGGAGTTGAGGGGTAGGAAGTGGGAGGGTACCGCTTCGCTCTCCTGGAGTTTTGCTGATGTTTTACACGAGCGTTGGGAGTGCACAGTTGAGAGGGTGCATCTCTGTTTTTACGGCGAGGGGAAGGTATGGGAGAGTCCCGTGTGTTCGAACGTGTTATACGTGGAAGAGGCGAGCGTACAGGTTCCCTTAGGAGTTCTGTCTTTATCCAGAGTGGACACTTGCACCTTTCTGGCCAGTAATGGGCAAAAGGAAATTGAGGAAGCCGAAGCATATGTGCACACAAAGGACATCTCTGTAATATACCTTTTCCTGGTACAGCGGCTGTGAAACACCGCTGTGGTTTTTGTTTCGGGGCAACTCTTACTTGTGCTCCCAAGAGGGAACCTTTTGTCCTGTGAACCCCTGAAAGTAAAATTCCAATCTTATTTTGCAGTTTTCCTTGAAAGATTTTCATTTCGGTACCTAATGGTGCAGGAGTTTTTTTTCTTTTTTCTTTTTTTGTTTTTACCACCTCATTTCTTGCGTCCAATTCCTGTGCGCAGGACACTGGTAACAGATTTCAGTTACTCAGGAAATTCTGAGTTCTTCTGAATCACAGCTTACTTAGAGGAGAGCGTCTAGTACTTCAACCAGTTTTTAAAAGTTGTTACGTTTTTTCCTTACTCAGGTGCTTTTTTTTTACTTTTGTGTAGCATTTGTCCTAATTGCTGATCTTTTTTGTTCTAACTTGGCAGAATGACTTGAGACTTGCTTGTTTGAATTATCTTGACTTCCCTATCAAATGAAGAGAAACTTTTTAAAGTTTATTTTTATCTATCTTGAGAGAGAGAGATCAGTACCTGCTCAAGTGGGGGAGGGGCAGAGAGAGGGGGGGAGAGAGAGAATCCCAAGTAGGCCCAACCCTGTCAGCACAGAGCAGGACACTCGGCTTGATCTCACCAACCATGAGATCATGACCTGAGCCGAAATCAGGAGTCGGTTGCTTAACCAACTGAGCCATTCAGGTGACCCTGAGAAACTTTTTGGTGTTAAATTCTTTGGATAATGATTATTTCCCTTCCCTTCTGTTATTTTGAAGGTGATGTCTATAAACATCTTTGGTATGTATCTTAGGTATCCTCTCCTAGTGCCAAGCTGACATGCAGGAAAGTAATGAACATTTCATATACTTACACGGACCTTAAGGGTTAAGTACAGGGTAGAATTTTATTTAATAGAACATAGGCAGTACTATACTGAGAACGGTGGTTCCTCCAGACAGCATTGTGGGCTCACTCCCTCCAAAGCCACTGCTGAGAGAAGCTTTGTGGGAATGAGTGAAAACCCCGGGTTATCTGTGCTAACTGCTTCATTCAGGATCTGAACTAAATTTATTTAAAACTTTCTCAAATAGTGTTTTCATCTGTACTTTTTCCTCTTTTGAGGTAATGAGTTCTACAAGCTTATTAGACCCTAAATTACTTAATAGTTCATTTATTTATCACAAACCTGCCTCCCTAAAGTTCTAAGACACATCCAGAGTTCTTGTTTTGAAAAGTGCTACAACAAGCCAGAGTTCATCTTTTCTTGGTTTTATAGATTTTCATTGTTCCTCTTTACCGTCACGTTTCCTGACTTTGCGTGTCTGTCTTAAAAGGCTGTCTTTCTATTCCTTGGTCACCTTGCCCTCCTCTGGAACTTCTCCAGCTATTTTGTTTCTTTTTATATATTTGTGTTTGTTATACTTTTTAAAGGAACCTTAAGTTCTGTCTGTTTTAAATAGGTACTGACATGGAAATACTGATTAGTGGATGTAATGTTAGGTGTGGAATCAGAAGCAGATGTCTCTGGATCTGTTATTTTGAGACCTTGAGGAAGTCACATATCCCATGTTTCACAAAGATGGGAAGAAGAGAACTCTAGCCTTGGCATTGGCTGAGTTTTTGGGGGGAGGAAGGGAAGACAAAACCAACAAACTGTAATTTGAAGGTAGATTTGTACTTAATCAAAGTTGCTTACTAACTTTGACTTATTTTTATTGCTCTGACTATAGATTGGTTAAAAAGCCTGGTAACTTTTTATTGCAAAGAAACAGCAAAGTATTTGGGGTCCATTTGGGGTCCTTGCCTTTGAGATGCTTTTATTTATGGCAGAGGCAATGAAACATAAGTTGCATAAAATTGTAGGAAAGGGAGCATGAACCGGTGTTTATAGCCACTACAGATTATACTACTATGTTTGATACCTTTAGATATAAATGTATTTGTATATTTTTCATTAGAGAAGTGACTATACAAAACTAATTGGAGTGTCTGAATGAGATCTGGGAAAGAAGTTCTCTTTTAGGACGAAAGGAGCAGGTGGAGGTAAAATGCCTAAGGCTTTTGGAATTGGGGGGTGTGAGAGACAAGTGTAATTAGGAAGTTAGCTTGATAGGAATACAGATGGTGGTTGGTTGTTGAGTCAGCTTAGGGTCAGTTTGTGTTTATGTAGTCATAGGAGTGCAGCCCAAAGAAGCAATTGAGAGCAATATTCCCAAGAGGGTAGTTTTAGATGATTGAGGAGAAATTGTTATTTTAGGTCAAGAGGCATTATACCTGGAGTAGGATTTTGTTTTTCTAGGGAACCAACATTAAAAAAATTTTTTTTCAATGTTTACTTATTTTTGAGAGAGAGAGAGAGAGAGAGAGAGAGAGAATCCGAAGCAGGCTCCAGGCTCTGAGCTTTCAGAACAGAACCTATCATGGGGCTCAAACCCATAAACCATGAGATCATGACCTGAACCAAAGTCAGACAGTTAACTGACTGAGCCACGCAGTCGCCCCTAGAGAACCAACATTTTTATACCATGGTCATCAAAGAGCTATACAGTTGGAAGAGTGAACAAGAAGATGCCCCCAATACTTACTTTGGTGCTAGTGGTTTCTTATAGAAAATAAATCAGAAATAAGGCAGTAGACTTTGTTTTGGACATTAAATTTTAGGGGGAAGGTTGATTCTGATGTAGTCTGAAGATAGAAAACTAGTTAAACTAATAAGTAACATGCTGAAAATGTAGCGTTAGGAAGTCATTTTCACAGTATTAAGTTTTCTTGAGAGAGCTGACAGAGTAAAGAAAGGAAAAATGTGTATTTTTACTTGGGGGGGAAGGAAATCTGTTAAAGTTACCAAAGATAGAGTAAGGACAGAGAATGGATGAGGCTCTACCTAAAAAATGTTTTAAAGGTAGGTAAGATTTGAAGTTCACAAGGGAGGAACAGCTTTTAAACATGGCTTACAGTTCAGTCTTAGGGCACGTGAGTCTATGTTTTTGAAAGAGCTAATAAGTTTTTTGTGGTGTGTATAGGTCCCTTGAGATTAAGTTCCAAAGAATATATAGGATTTCACTGTAAAGGAAACTATACGTGAAAGGACAGATTTGTTTTTATAAAAAGTCATGTTTTTAAAGTTTGCCCTGCATTATTATCCCGAGTTTGGTCTGTAACATGATGAAGTGGGGCTAAAAATAGCTGGCAGAGAAGCCCGCTTCCCCTGCTTGCAGTTGATGTGTGTCTTTGTGTCCCATACAATGGAGGGGATATCCCTGTGTTGGCACAGCAGTGCTGAAAATGCCTTTTTAAAAAAGCCTTTTTATTAAAAAAATAAACAAACAAAAACCAACTTGGCATTTAAAAAAATTCAGCTGTCTTTGAAGCATGAGACACCATAAGACTTTTTTTGTAGTGAGAGCTGCTAATGGGACTAGCATTTAGTGTTGACTGACAAAGATAAGGATTGTGAGATAGGGAATACACACACACACACACACACACACACACACACACTTATATCTCTACACCTTTTGTGTTCCTTAGTTCATTTCACCACCTTCCTAGTAGCTTCTTTTGCCTCTTCTTAAGGTTTAATTCAAATGGTAGAGTCCTTTGGGGAAGAGATGTTTAGACAGGGAGCTAGATCTTAGGTGATTCTAGGATGAGGGTACAGGGACTGGAATATATGCCATACAGGTGCCTTCTCCACCCTCTATTTTCCACAACACTTTTTATGCGGGTAAAACCTTGTTTAGATGAACTGAAAGGGCAGCCTTTTTCGGTTGCCATGATTTACTAGCAAAGATAGTGGGAAAGCTGGGACTCTGGTAGGAGGGAGTGCTGAACTCATGTGCTTTGCCTTGGCAACATTGGGCTTGATATGGGATGGTTAAAGACCCTTGGGTGTGCGTTTGTGTTTTAGTATCCATGACCTGAAAGCTTACACCAAGGCTGGTAGCAGCTCAACTTGTGTACTTTAAAAACAGTTCTTGGAGAAGTCATGAGTTGCCTCTGACATCTCATTCTGTAGAGGAGAGGTTGGTAAGCTTTCTTTTTTTTTAGTCAAAGACCAGCTAGTAAATATCTTAGATTTTGTGGTCCACATCTAGTACAACGATTGCGTTCTGTTCTTGTAGTGTAAAAGTAGCCATAGCAATACGTAAGCAAGTGAGTGTGATTGTGTTCTAGTAAAACCTTATACAGTTGGTCCTCGAACAGTGTGTAGGTTAGGGGCACCAGTCCCCTGTGCAGCGAAAATCGGTGTATGACTTTTGACTCACACCAAACTTAATTATTGATAGCCTATTGTCCACAGGAAGCGTTACTGATAACAAAATATTAACACATATCTTTTAGGTTTATATGTATCATATACTACATTCTTATAACATGCTACATTCTTACAGTATTGAAAGACAGAAAAGAAACTTATTAAGAAAATTATAATGAAGAGAAAATACACTGACAGTATGTATGGAAAACAATTTATGCGTAAGTGGATCAGTGCAGTTCAAACCTGTGTTGTTCAGGGGTCACCTGTACATAATAACAAGAGGTAGGTTGGGTTTGACCCGTAGTTTATGGAACCCTAGTGTAGACAACTGCCAGGTCCACCAACACGCAGTATAAGCATTCCATTACAAAGCTTGGAGTGGCTGCTGTAGGTGTTCTCCATTTTCTAAATGAGGTG